AACGGACACCAAAAGAAAGCAGGAGTCGCAATACTCATATCAGATAAAATAGACTTTCAAATAAAGGCTGTGAAAAGAGACAAAGATGGACACTACATAATGATCAAAGGATCAATCCAAGAAGAAGATATAACAATTATAAATATATATGCACCCAACATAGGAGCACCGCAATATGTAAGGCAAACGCTAACGAGTATGAAAGAGGAAATTAATAGTAACACAATAATAGTAGGAGACTTTAATACCCCACTCACAACTATGGATAGATCAACTAAACAGAAAATGAACAAGGAAACACAAACTTTAAAGGAGACAATGGACCAGCTAGACCTAATTGACATCTATAGGACGTTTCACCCCAAAACAATCAACTTCACCTTTTTCTCAAGTGCACACGGAACCTTCTCCAGAATAGATCACATCCTGGGCCATAAATCTAGTCTTGGTAAATTCAAAAAGATTGAAATCATTCCAGTCATCTTTTCTGATCATAGTGCAGTAAGATTAGATCTCAATTACAGGAAAAAAATTATTAAAAATTCAAACATATGGAGGCTAAACAACACGCTTCTGAATAACCAACAAATCATAGAAGAAATCAAAAAAGAAATCAAAATATGCATAGAAATGAATGAAAATGAAAACACAACAACCCAAAACCTATGGGACACTGTAAAAGCAGTGCTAAGGGGAAGATTCATAGCATTACAGGCCTATCTCAAGAAACAAGAAAAAAGTCAAATAAATAACCTAACTCTACACCTAAAGCAACTACAGGAGGAAGAAATGAAGAACCCCAGGGTTAGTAGAAGGAAAGAAATCTTAAAAATTAGGGCAGAAATAAATGCAAAAGAAACTAAAGAGACCATAGCAAAAATCAACAAAGCTAAAAGCTGGTGTTTTGAAAAAATAAACAAAATTGACAGACCATTAGCAAGACTCATTAAGAAACAAAGGGAGAAGAACCAAATTAACAAAATTAGAAATGAAAATGGAGAGATCACAACAGACAACACTGAAATACAAAGGATCATAAGAGACTACTACCAGCAGCTCTATGCCAATAAAATGGACAACTTGGAAGAAATGGACAAGTTCTTAGAGAAGTATAACTTTCCAAAACTGAACCAGAAAGAAATAGAAGATCTTAACAAACCCATCACAAGCAAGGAAATCGAAACTGTAATCAGAAATCTTCCAGCAAACAAAAGCCCAGGACCAGATGGCTTCACAGCTGAATTCTACCAAAAATTTAGAGAAGAGCTAACACCTATCTTACTCAAACTCTTCCAGAAAATTGCAGAAGAAGGTAAACTTCCAAACTCATTCTATGAGGCCACCATCACCCTAATTCCAAAACCAGATAAAGATGCCACAAAAAAAGAAAACTACAGGCCAATATCACTGATGAACGTAGATGCAAAAATCCTTAACAAAATTCTAGCAAACAGAATCCAACAACATATTAAAAAAATCATACATCATGACCAAGTGGGCTTTATCCCAGGAATGCAAGGATTCTTTAATATCCACAAATCAATCAATGTAATACACCACATTAACAAATTGAAAGATAAAAACCATATGATTATCTCAATAGATGCAGAAAAAGCCTTTGACAAAATTCAACATCCATTTATGATTAAAACTCTCCAGAAAGCAGGAATAGAAGGAACATACCTCAACATAATAAAAGCTATATATGACAAACCCACAGCAAGCATCACCCTCAATGGTGATAAATTGAAAGCATTTCCCCTGAAATCAGGAACAAGACAAGGGTGCCCACTCTCACCACTACTATTCAACATAGTTTTGGAAGTTTTGGCCACAGCAATCAGGGCAGAAAAAGAAGTAAAAGGAATCCAGATAGGAAAAGAAGAAGTGAAACTCTCTCTGTTTGCAGATGACATGATCCTCTACATAGAAAACCCTAAAGACTCTACCAGAAAATTACTAGAGCTAATCAACGAATACAGTAAAGTTGCAGGATATAAAATTAACACACAGAAATCTCTTGCATTCCTATACACTAACAATGAGAAAACAGAAAGAGAAATTAAGGAAACAATACCATTCACCACTGCAACAAAAAGAATAAAATACTTAGGAGTATATCTACCTAAAGAAACAAAAGACCTATACATAGAAAACTATAAAACACTGATGAAAGAAATCAAAGAGGACACAAACAGATGGAGAAATATACCGTGTTCATGGATTGGAAGAATCAATATTGTCAAAATGGCTATACTACCCAAAGCAATCTATAGATTCAATGCAATCCCTATCAAACTACCAACGGTATTTTTCACAGAACTAGAACGAATAATTTCACGATTTGTATGGAAATACAAAAAACCTCGAATAGCCAAAGTAATCTTGAGAAAGAAGAATGGAACTGGAGGAATCAACCTGCCTGACTTCAGACTCTACTACAAAGCCACAGTCATCAAGACAGTATGGTACTGGCACAAAGACAGAATTATAGATCAATGGAACAGAATAGAAAGCCCAGAGATAAATCCATGAACCTATGGTCATCTTATCTTTGACAAAGGAGGCAAGGATATACAATGGAGAAAAGACAACCTCTTTAACAAGTGGTGCTGGGAAAACTGGTCAACCACCTGTAAAAGAATGAAACTAGAACACTTTCTAACACCATACACAAAAATAAACTCAAAATGGATTAAAGATCTAAATGTAAGACCAGAAACTATAAAACTCCTAGAGGAGAACATAGGCAAAACACTCTCCGACATAAATCACAGCAGGATCCTCTATGACCCACATCCCAGAATTTTAGAAACAAAAGCAAAAATAAACAAATGGGACCTAATGAAACTTAAAAGCTTTTGCATAACAAAGGAAACTGTAAGCAAGGTGAAAAGGCAGCCCTCAGATTGGGAGAAAATAATAGCAAATGAAGCAACAGACAAAGGATTAATCTCAAAAATATACAAGCAACTCCTCCAGCTCAACTCCAAAAAAATAAATGACCCAATCAAAAAATGGGCCAAAGAACTAAACAGACATTTCTCCAAGGAAGACATACAGATGGCAAAAAAACACATGAAAAGATGCTCAACATCACTCATTATCAGAGAAATGCAAATCAAAACCACAATGAGGTACCATTACACACCAGTCAGGATGGCTGCTATCCAAAAATCTACAAGCAATAAATGCTGGAGAGGGTGTGGAGAAAAGGGAACCCTCTTACACTGTTGGTGGGAATGCAAATTAGTACAGCCACTATGGAAAACTATGGAGATTTCTTAAAAAGCTGGCAATAGAACTGCCATATGACCCAGCAATCCCACTTCTGGGCATACACATCGAGGAAACCAGATCTGAAAGAGACACGTGCACCCCAATGTTCATCGCAGCACTGTTTATAATAGCCAGGACATGGAAGCAACCTAGATGCCCATCAGCAGACCAATGGATGAGGAAGCTGTGGTATCCATATATACCATGGAATATTACTCAGCCATTAAAAAGAATTCATTTGAATCAGTTCTAATGAGATGGATGAAACTGGAGCTCATTATACAGAGCGAAGTAAGCCAGAAAGATAAAGACCATTACAGTATACTAACACATATATATGGAATTTAGAAAGATGGTAACGATAACCCTATATGCAAAACAGAAAAAGAGACTCCGATGTATAGAACAGACTTGTGGACTCTGGGAGAAGGCGAGGGTGGGATGTTTCAAGAGAACAGCATCGAAACACGTATATTATCTAGGGTGTAACAGATCACCAGCCCAGGTTGGGTGCATGAGACAAATGCTCGGGTCTGGTGCACTGGGAAGACCCAGAGGGATCAGGTGGAGAGGGAGGTGGGAGGAGGGACCGGGATGGGGAATACATGTAAATCCATGGCTAATTCATTTCAATGTATGACAAAAACCACTGCAATGATGTAAAGTAATTAGCCTCCAACTAATAAAAAAAAAAAAAAAAAGCAAAAAAAAAAAAACCAACACAGGGCTCTAAGGAGAAGCAACAGTGCTAAATGTGCAGGGTGAGAATGTAGGAAGTCACCCTACAATCAAAACTTAAACCCTCAAGGTTCCATTTCATAAGAAACTTCAATTCTCATGCAACGTTTCCCTGTAGCCACCTCTGTAAGGCAGTTACGAGCGCCCTCAGAAAGAGTATAGCTGTCCTCTTTTTTTCCATCCCACACCTCCAGTGGTAGGAACAGCAGGTTCTACCAGTTACTGTGAGGCTAAAAAAGCCTGAGATAGGCTGGTTTTTGTTATCCAATTAGTTAGTCTCTGATAAATGGGCCCCACCTGTTTCTTCTAGACTGCCTTGTCACCCTTTGAGTTGCTGACCTGTCTTTCCAAACATTTTCTCAAACGTATTAGGAATCTTAAATATTATCTCATATTATTTAAGTCTTATTCGTTTCAACTTTCAAAAAGGCCAGGTGAGAAACAGGGTGGACAGGATAAATCAATGATTATGACTGGGAAAGGACAGCACACTATCACTCTTAACAGTACTACTCAGGCGGTTCATAAAGGACTGTTGTTTATCTGACTGACTTGGGACACTATAACCTATTTGAAGAGAATGTTTTCTGTGGCAAAGAAAAAATCTATTCGATGGAGATTGCTCCAGAAATAAAATTTCCATTAATTATGGCAAAGATTTAATTATTTGGTTTATCAGTTGTTCAGTAGAGAGATTAATTCAATCTTTACCCATCTGTTTAATCCATTACTTCCATTCCTTCATCTCCCCAGGTGTTAATTACACTAGCAGAGGTGTGCTGAGATAAAGTCTAATTTTATATGAGTTAAAATGTCAAAATTAACAATTATGAAATAGTTTACAGATTTCAAATAATTCATATCTTGCCAACTCCCTATTAACAGAATTGGTTTAAGTTTTATTCTCTGCCCCAAAATGGTGTTATTAAAATTACAGTATAATAGCATGAGAAATAATTCTTAAAAATTTTAATGGTTCCAACCTTGAGCTCTGATCCAAGCTTAGTTCCAAAACGAATATTTCTGACACAGTAGGGAGCCTGGCTCATGCTTTCAGTTCCTCCACACAAGACAACTTCAGAGTCTCTAGAACAAATTTCCTATTTAGAAACAAACAACACCACCAAAATCTTTTTATTGTGACAGAAATATGTATTAAGCAGTAAACCAATAGTAAAGCTAATAAGTACCCTTGCTTACAGTAAAACTTTCAGATTATAGTGTCTCAAAGGGAAATAAAAGTAATTTCAAAGTGAATGTTAAAATATTCATTCCCAAGATATAAGGAGGAAAAAAACTAGCAGACTTTTCAATCATTTATGCAGAAGTAACAAATCCTACCTACATTTTGACAAGGGATGGTAATTCTTAACACACATCTTGAAAACTAGCAGAGATATTAATGTCTAGTATAAATGTACAGATTGCCAGCAGATAAAGAATAAGCCCTTAAAAAGGCAAAAGTAAAATTTATCTTATTAATCAATGAACCTGACGTAGACCAGATTTATAAAAACTATGTTAACCTAGGGTAGTCATAAAGAGGAATCTGTTTATTCCATTTTTTTCCACTATTTACATTTCTCAGAAAAATAGCAAATAACAATCTTCCAAGAGCCCAATGTTTAAAATGATTGCTAGGAAAATCAGGGTCGCTACCTAAGATATATTGTAACAGAAATAAATAAACGTGAAAGTAACTTGTTCATTACGTTTTATCTTTTATTTTATTTTGTAATAAAATATGAAGGCTTTGAAAACATGAAGACATTGTCAAATTAAATTTTACTGTATCCCTTTTCCCTATGCTCAAGGGAGGAAATCTATTTGCCCAACTACCCCTTGAAGAGATCATGCTAGCTTGTCCTTTGACCAACAGTATTATTCAGTACCTTTATAATAAAATACATTTCTTATCATCCTCTAAATTCTCCAACTCCTTTCCTTACCTTATAGTCTTTATTCACTGTTTTGAACTACCTTACCTGGAACTCTTGCAGACCTGGCATCAGATTCTGCCTCTACAACTTAGTAAACTTAATGCCTTTAATAATCAATTTCCTTGCCTGTAAAATAGGAATAACAGTTCTTGCCTCATAGGACTGTTGTGAAGATTAAGTGAGATACTGAATGTAAATCTAGCAGAGTGTCTGGCACATAGGAAGCACTCAATAAAAATGAGTCATGACTAGCTTTTTCAAAACTGTGATAAAATACACATAACATAAAATGTACCATTCTAATCAATTCTAACTGTGCAAGTCATGAAGCACATTCACATTGTTATGCAACCAACCACCATTACTTCCAGAAGTCTTATCAGCTTCCAAACTGAAACCCTGTATCCATTAAACATTAACTCCCCATTTTCTCTTCCCCACCAGCCCTAGCAATCCCCATTTTACTTTCTGTCTCTATGAACCTGACCACTCTAGGGCCCTCACATAAGTGGACTCATACAGTATTTGTCCTTTAGTGACTGGCTTATTCCATTTAGCAAAGTGTTTCCAGGGTGCATCACTAGCTTTTATGAAATTATTTTCTTGCATGTTCGTAATGTATACATCAAAAAAGATTTTCTTTCTATAAATATTTGTCCGAGAAAAATCAAGTATTGACCCCTCTTCATAAATACTATAAAATTAAAAACCTAGTGTTACACTGAAGTGAGGCATTTCCTCTACTATTAATATTTTCAGAGAATTCAATAAAATGCTGCTCTTACCTGACATCCACTCACAATGGACTGGAAACCAGAGCCACAGAGCCTGTTAACAGTGACAGCTGGGATCTCTTTTGGGATTCCCACACGCAAACCAACATGTCTTGCCAAGTATATAGCATCTGAAGAACTCTGGAACAGAAGGAAAAGAAAAGGAAAAGGAAAAGAATTGCCTCTATAAATCTAGGAAATCAAGAAGAAGGACAAAATATACTAAAACATCCACAATCTTTAAACAATTATAAACAATGTGAGTCTAAGGTACAACAGAATACATACAGGTATAACATATTTTATACAGTAAGTATGAATGATTTGGATATATACTGTAATTTGGTTGACTGCTTTTTAAACAAACTAAGTATGAGAAACTCTTATATTAAATCTTTAGGAGAATACAGAATTTTATAACAATCAGAGCTGTTTAAAAATGGAATAGGCTATCTCAAAGTAGTACGTTCTTTAACAAAGGATGCACTGGAGACTGTGGTTCGCAACCTTGGCTGCACACTGTAATAATCAGGGAAGCTTTATTAACATAGAAACACACATAAAACAAGGTTATTTTTTGCTCAGTTAACAAATATTTTGTGGCTGGAGGCTCACAGGAACTGTCATTTCACTGGGAATGGCGGTTCAGCAGTTGCTAATTCAACAAACTCAGCAACTATACACAACATTATACTGAATATTGAGAAGTGACTACCATGAACAGCTGTGTGCCAATAAATTAGATGCACACATATTAAGTCACTTCAGTCATGTCCGACTCTTTGTGACTCTATGGACTGCAGCCTGCCGGCTCCTGTGTCCATGCGGATTCTCCACACAAGAGTACTGGAGTGGGTTGCCATGCCCTCCTCCAGGGGATCTTCCCAACCCAGGGATCAAGCCCATGTCTCTTAAGTCTTCTGCACTGACAAGCAAGTACTTTAACACTAATGCCACCTAGGAAGCCCAATAAATTAAACAACTCAGGTGATGAGGAAAAATGCCTTGAAAGAAATTACCAAAACCAAGTCAAGGAAAAATAGACAATCAGAATAGACCTATAACGAGTGAGTTGAGTTGAGCTGAGTTGAATTCAGTCACTCAGTTGTGTCGGACTCTTTGCAACCCCATGAATCACAGCTCACCAGGCCTCCCTGTCCATCACCAACTCCCGGGGTTTACTCAAACTCATGTCCATTGAGTCAGTGATGACATCCAACCATCTCATCCTCTGTTGTCCCTTTCTCCTCCTGCCTTCAATCTTTCCCAGCATCACGGTCTTTTCAAATGAGTCAGTTCTTCACATCAGGTGGCCAAAGTGTTGGAGTTTCAGCTTCAACATCAGTCCTTCCAATGAATAATCAGGACTGATTTTCTTTAGGATAGACTGGTTGGATCTCCTTGCAGTCCAAGGGACTCTCCAGAGTCTTCTCCAACACCACAGTTCAAAAGCATCAATTCTTTGGTGCTCAGCTTTCGTTATAGTCCAACTCTCACATCCACACAACTACTGGAAAAATCACAGCCTTGATAGATGGACCTTTGTTGGCAAAGTAATGTCTCTGCTTTTTAATAAGCTGTCTAGGTTGGTCATAACTCTTCTTCCAAGGAGCAAGTATCTTTTAATTTAATGGCTTCAGTCACCATCTGCAGTGATTCTGGAGCACAAGAAAATAAAGTCTGTCACTGTTTCCACTGTTTCCCCATCTATTTGCCATGAAGTGATGGGACCAGATGCCACTATCTTAATTTTCTGAATGTTGAGTTTTAAGTCAACTTTTTCACTCTCCTCTTTCATCATGAGTTCTTTAGTTCTTCTTTCCTTTCTGCCGTAAGCGTGGTGTCATTCTGCATATCTGAGGCTATTGATATTTCTCCTGGCAATCTTGATTCCAACTTGTGCTTCATCCAGTCCAGCATTTCTCATGATATACTCTGCATAGAAGTTAAATAAGCAGGGTGACAATATACAGCCTTGATGTACTCCTTTCCCAATTTGGAACCAGTCTGTTGTTTAATGTCTGGTTCTAACTGTTGCTTCTTGACCTGCATACAAATTTCTCAGGAGGCAGATGAGGTGGTCTGGTATTCCCATTTCTTTCAGAATTTTCCACAGTTTATTGTGATCCACACAGTCAAAGGCTTTGGCATAATCAATAAAGCAGAAGTAGACGTTTTTCTGGGACTTTCTTGCTTTTTTGATGATCCAACGGATGTTGGCAATTTGATCTCTGGTTCCTCTGCCTTTGTGAAATCCAGCTTGAACATCTGGAAGTTTACGGTTCACATATTGCTGAAGCCTGGCATGGAGAATTTTGAGCATTATTTTGCTAGCATGTGGGATTCCCTTGTGGCTCAGCTGGTAAAGAATCCACCTGCAATGCAGAAGACCTGGGTTCAATCCCTGGGTTGGGAAGATCCTCTGGAGAAGGGAAAGGCTACCCACTCCAGTATTCTGGCCTGGAGAATTCCATGGACTGTATAGTCTATGGGGTTACAAAGAGTCAGACACGACTGAGCAACTTTCACTTCACTTTCACTTGCTAGTGTGTGAGATAAGTACAACTGTGTGGGAGTTTGAGCATTCTTTGGTATTGCCTTTCTTTGGGATTGGAATGAAAACTGACCTTTTCCAGCCCTCTGGCCACGGCTGAGTTTTCCAAATTTGCTGGCATACTGAGTGTAGCATCATCTTTAAGGATTTGAAATAGCTCAACTGGAATCCCATCACCTCCACTAGCTTTGTTCGTAGAGATGCTTCCTAGGGCCCACTTGACTACACATTCCAGGATGTCTGGCTCTAGGTGAGTGATCACACAATCGTGATTATCTGGGTCACGAAGATCTTTTCTGTATAGATCTTCTGTGTATTCTTGTCACCTCTTCTTCATATCTGCTGCTTTTGTTAGGTCCATACCATTTCTGTCCTTTATTTTGTCCATCTTTGCATGAAATGTTGTTCCCTTGGTATCTCTGATTTTCTTGAAGAGATCTCTAGTCTTTCCCATTCTATAGTTTTTCCTCTATTTCTTTGCACTGATCACTGAGGAAGGCTTTCTTATCTCTCCTTGCTATTCTTTGGAACTCTGCATTCAAATGGGTATATCTTTCCTTTTCTCCTTTGCCTTTAGCCTCTCTTCTTTTCATAGCTGTTTGTAAGGCCTCCTCAGACAACTATTTTGCCTTTTTGCATTTCTTTCTCTTGGGGTGAAGACTGAATTAATTAGTACAAAACACTACTCACAAAAAAAGACAGACGGGCTTCATTACTGAATACTACCAAACATTTAAAGAAGATACCAGTAATTCACGAACTGTTCCTAAAGAATAGAAAAGGATCACTTCCCAATTCAGCATGAAGCCAGAATTATACTGATTAAAAAAATCAGACAAAGACATCACAAAAACTACTGATTAATATCTCTTATGAATATGGATATAAAAATCTTCAATAAAATACTAGTAAACAGAATTCAGCAATTTAGAAAAAGAATTATTCACTATGACCAGTGCAAGGGTCATCGAGAAATGTAAGGTTTCATCATCTGAAAGTCAATTAATATATCACACTGTATCAACAGAATAAAAATAAAAAAGCATATGATTATCTCAGTTGACACAGAAAAAGCAACTGACAAAATCTAACAACTTTTCATGATAAAAACACTCAACAACCTAGGAATAGAAAATGAATTTCCTCAATCTGATAAAGGAAATCTACAAAAACCCACATAACATCATACTTAATGCAGAAAGACCAGAGGCTTTCCCCCACAGTATCAGGAACAAGAGAGCAATATCCATTTTTTGTCACTTTTATTCAACATCAGAGTTTCTAGACAGAGTAATGAGGCAAGAAAAATAAATACAAAAGTAAAAGAAATATAGATTGGAAAGGGAGAAGCAAAATTATCTCCGCTCTCAGATGACATGATGTTATATATAAAAAATCCAAGTAATCAACTAGAAAACCATTAGAACTAATAAATGAGTTCTGCAAGGTTACAGGATATAAGATTAATATATAAAAGTCAACTGTATTTCTTTTTTCTTAAAATCAACTGCATTTCTATACACTTTCTATGAACAATCTGAAAATTAAATAAGAAAACAATTTCATTCACAATAGTATGTAAAAGAATAAAATACTTAGGAATAACTGTTGAGATGGCAACACTCTGCAAACTGACCTACAGATTCAAAACAATCCTATCAGAATCTTAGCTGCCTTTTTCATAGAAATGGATAAACAGATTCTAAAATTCATATTTTAGAATTGCAGGAGGCCCAGAATAGCCAAAACAACTTTGAAAAGAAAAACTGAGGAGACTCACATTTCTTGATTTCTAAATTTACTATGAAGCAATGATAATGAAGATAATCAAGACAGTGTGGAACTGACAATTAAAGGATAGACATACAGATAAGTGCAATAGAATGAGGAATTGAAAAATAAAGTCACGTGTCTATGGCCAGCTGATTTTCAATAACAGTGCCAAAACCGTCCAATGGGAGAAAGAAGAGTCTTTTCAAATGGTGCTAGAACAACTGGATAGTCATGTGTAAAAGAATGAATTTGAACCTGTACCTCAAAACATATATAAAAATTAAATAAAAATAAACCAAAGACCTAAATGTATGAGCTAAAACTTAGAAGAAAACATAGGAATAAATCTTCACGACCTTAGATTTGGAAATAGATTCTTAGATAATGAAACCAAAAGCCTGAGCAACAACCAAAATTGGGCTTCATCAAAATTCAAAATTTTCATACTCTAAAGGATACAATTAAGAAATGAAAAGATAATCAAGTATAGAAAAATATTTGCAGATCATGTTATCTGTTAAGGGACTTGTATCTAGGATATAAAAATAACACTTATGAATCAACAATGAAAAGACAAATAACTTAATTAAAAAGTGGGAAAAGGATATTAATTAGATATTCTCCAAGAATCCGCCTACAATTCAGGAGACCCCAGTTCAGTTCCCAGGTCTGGAAGATCCACTGGAGAAGGGATAGGTTACCCACTCCGGTATTCTTGGGCTTCCCTTGTGGCTCAGCTGGTAAAGAATTCGCCTGTAATATGGGAGACCTGGGTTTGATCCCTGGGTTGGAAAGATCCCCTGGAGAAGGGAATATAGCTACCCTCTCCAGTATTCTGGCCTGGAGAATTCCAGGGACTGTACAGTAAAAGGGGTCACAAAGAGTCAGACACCACTGAGTGACTTTCAATTTCACTTTCAAGAAGATATAGCAATGGACACAAGCTCATGAAATTATGTTCAGTATCATCAATTATCAGGGAAAAGCAAATTAAAACCACAATGAGATACTACTTCACATTCACTAGCATGGCTACACTGATTAAAAAAAAAGACATACAATAACAAGTGTTAACAAGAATGTGGAGAAAGTGGAACCTTTGTACCCTGTAGCGGGAATGTAAAATGTTCAGCTGCTTTGGAAAGCAATCTGAAAGCTTTTGAAACAACTAAATGTAAAGGTAACATATAACCTAGCATTTACACTCATAGGCATACACCGAAGTGAAATGAAAACCTGTGTCCGCACAGAAACTTGTATATGATGTTCAAAGCAGTATTATTCACAGCGGACAATTGTGCGCCTCTCTCTGAGCCTTCTCCTAGCTCTCAGAGCTGAAAGCATGCAGTGGAGGAGGTGGCAGTAGTCTCAAGGCTTCTCACCCAGTCTGGAAACACTTTATAAGCCAGAAGAACAGTGACTTGGGCTCTAGTACTGTCAGTGGCAGGGCTTCCCAGGTGGCTAGCGGTAAAGAACCCACCTGCCAATGGAGGAGATGTTAAGATGCAGGTTAAACCCCTAGGTTGGGAAGATCCCCTGGAGGAGGGCTTGGCAATCCGCTCCAGTATCCTTGACTGGAGAATCCCATGGACAGAGGAGCCTGGTGGGCTATATAGTCCATAGGGCTGCACAGTCAGACACGACTGAAGGGACTTAGCACGCAATGAGGTGTGAGAAGAGTAAGAGCGTCCTCGTATCTTGACCACACTTTGAAGGCATGTTTAGCTTTCAATTATTGCAAATGAATGATTTTGTATACCATATATAGCAAGGTAGAGGGTAAAAGAGCTTCTCATTCCCCACAACAAACATTGACCAAACTTCTCCTGTGTGTAAGAAATTATAGACAATGTATTGCATTGCTTGGGCTTGCTATTCTCCCTAGGTGGCACACAGAGAGAACCAATTTACTTCAAGTAAGTCAAGGGAATTAATCTGTTATTTAAGAAGCAATGAAATGTATCCCAAGTCCCAGACAGATATGTATTTTCCAAACATATGCTCCTTTGAATTATATATGCCACTGTTTTGGGGGTCAGGGAATTGCTTAAATTATTGAATACCTTTAACTATTATTAACTAGTATACCATTATGACATGTTAAAGGAATTATTTTTAGAAACTGATAAAAGAAAGCAATAGGAGTAAATACTTCCCTTCTGCCCTACTAACCTGCATGACATTGCCTACGACGACACTGTCAACAGTTTCAGGTGAGACTTTGCCAGCAGACAAGGCAGCCCTGGCAGCAAACTCAGCCATGTCAGTAGGTGTGAAGTCTTTCAGAAGACCTCCATAAGCTCCAAAGGGGGTCCGCTTAGCAGCAACGATGAACACACCTATTGCAAGGAGAATTTATAAGCAATTGCAGATTAGTCAGTATCCCTAACATGTTTTGAATAATTCTCTGTGAACTTTACTATAAAGCACAATTTTCAATTAAATGACTGAAAATCTCTGTTGCATAATACATAGCATGGGTCACACGCACAAGCAGTCCTAAGGGTTATCATTTTGATCAATAACTGCATGCTGGCACCAAGAACTGCTCGGCAGGCTATGATGCAAATCCATGTTGGCTGGACATTTTTATAAACTGATTATTTGCTGATGATTTGTTTAAAATGGAAGCACTTCTATTTGCTGAAATATATTGCTTAGTCATAAAATCAAAGACTCTCCCAACTAAAGGTGCCTCTCACACTATGAACGTCCTTCAGACTATTTCTGACAAAAGGTCCTCTCTACCTTGTGCTAAAGGCATGCTCTATTGTGTGAACCAGTGTTACCATGAATGGGCAACATGATGTTTTTTTCTCACACTGAACTGGCTTGTCTTACCAAATCGTCCATCCACCAATCCCAGTTCTATTCAAATGCATCCCAAACTCAGTTTATACACCTTCTAGAATATATGCTGCTTTGAATTTGTATTATATATGTCACTGCTTCTAGAGTCAGAGGATGACTCAGATTATGAACTTCAAATAACTTGAACTATTATCTGTTACTCTTAGAATAAAATGGGCAAAATAGATACCCTTTATCATGGGTAGCCCCTCCAGTACCTGATGTCAGATAACATGTAAAACTCCCAGACCTAAATTCTCTTTTCTGAAGTATGTAAAAAGTGTCATTTCAACAATTCTTTAATTCTGGCCATTTTCTTCTAAAGACACTCTAGTTCACTAATATCCTATTATAATATGTGTCAGAGTATAACAAAGTTTCCTACATCTGACCTAACCACAAAGGATACAGAGGAATTATCTATACATCTATTAATGCGAAGACTACAAATTTGCAGTATCACTATTGGTTCAATTGGTGTCCCTGTACAGACAGACACAAACTGCCCCTTCTCAAGGCACTCTAGTGCCACTAAAGGAAAAAAAGTCATGTTTAACAAATCTACAAGGACTAGGATGTGAGAGGCACCCACTAGAGTAGCAAAACGCAAAAATGCAAAGCCTGCATACTGGGGAACAACATCAGTTAACAGCTGCTTCATCACATTAATATTTATTAGGCACTAGACATCTCGTCACTTGCCATATAATATCTAATCTTCCCAAACAACTCTACAGGTAAATATTATAGTCAACATTTAGGGGGTACTTACTGTATGACAGACTTCAGGCTTTATGCTTTGCATACACTAAATTCTCTCAAAGACAATCTGAGCACACATTTCCACATCTTGCCAAGAAATTATGAGACTTTTTAACAATGGGTTTGTGCCCAGATACACAATTCTCCTTTATGTCAGGGATCTCTTTTGATAGAACAAACTAAACCTATCCTAAAAAAATTCCAACTTTTTCTTTGATTTCTACTTTGAGAAATTTACAGTCTAAAAGAATGTTAGGAGCAACATACATAACTATAATTTAGAACAGATCCAATTGGTTATTTAAAGATAAAACATTCAGATATTTACAAAAGGCCATAAATATTAAAGTGAAAGTGTCACTCAGTCATGTCCAACTCTTTGCAACCCCATGGACTGCAGCCCATCAAGCTCCTCTGTCCATGGAACTCTAGGCAAGAGTGTTTGCCATTTCCTTCTCCAGGGGATCTTCCCGACCCAGGGACTGAACACATGTCTCTCTCATTGCAGGCAGACTCTTTACCGACTGAGCCACAGGGAAGCAAAATATTAGCTTAGTGCATTACACGTTTGCCTCTGACAGACGGGTTATTCTGTGCCACTGTGCCTTCCCGTCTGTGTGCTCAGTTACTAAATCACGTCCCACTCTGTGATCCCATGGACTGTAGCCAGCCTGCTTCCTCTCTCCACGGGGATTTCCAGGTAAGAAAACTGGAGTGGGATGCGATTTCCTCTTCCAGGGGCTCTTACACCCTAGGGATCAAACCCTTGTTTCCTGCATTGGCAGGTGAGTTCTGTAGCACTGAGCCACCAGGGAAGCCCATGCCTTCCTGTAAATGTCCTCTAATCTTCCTTGATTGACAGTCTCGGCCTTTTTTCATATTGGTGTTTACTTTATTTCATTTTTCTTTCCCTTTGCTTGCTTTCTTCCTAATTTTGGTACAGTCCTATCTCTGGTCATCACCTAGTACGCTCCAATTTGGCCAACTCTTCAGTAGACACTGACGATAGAGAATGGCTTCCTCAAGTGCCCAGAAAATGAAGAAAAATAGGCAAGTGAAGAGTAAGATACGGAAAAAGGGAATAGCACACGGTGAACGTTCAAGTTGCTTACAGCTGTTAACTTGAAGGTCAGCATTCTACACTGAATAGAAGGGCTAGAATTAAAAAAACTCAGTCTTGCTGGCTTGAAGAATACGAAAACTGAATTTGCAGCAATCACAGCTACTGGGAACTGAGGGGGGTTTGTGAAAGAAAAGGACCACAGCGGGGAGCCCAAATATCCGGTTGAATCCTTAATCATGTACCTGTGGGGCCAATTACATACACCTCCACTAAGGTGAATTAAAAGTTAGCTTTCAGCTGCTTCCCTCTACACGGCAGACAGAGTTTGCAGTTTGAAGTGAAGTGAAAGTCGCTCAGTTGTGTTCGATTTTTTCTGAGGTAAGGTAAGGTGAAGTCGCTCAGTCATGTCCGACTCTCTGTGACCCCACAGACTGTAGCCTACCAGGTTCTTCCATCCATGGGATTTTCCAGTCAAGAGTACTGGAGTGGGTTGCCATTTCCTTCTCCAGAGGAACTTCCCGACCCAGGGATCGAACCCAGGTCTCCTGCATTGTAGGCATATGCTTTACTGTCTGACCCCATGGACTGTACAGTCCATGGATTTCTCCAGGTCAGAATACTGGAGTGGGTATCCTTTCCCTTCTCCAGATCTTACCAACCCAGGGATCTAACCCAGGTCTCCTGCATTGCAGGTGGATTCTTTACCAGCTGATTTACAAGGGAAGCCCAAGAATACTGGAGTGGGTAGCCTATCCCTTCTCCAGCGGATCTTCCCAAACCAGGAATCAAACCAGGGTCTTCTGCATTGCAGGCGGATTCTTTACCAACTGAGCTATGAGGAAAGCAGTTTGAGTTCAGCCAAATTAACTGTCTACAAAAACAGTTAACAATTAATAAGTCAATACTTTTTGGAAAGTAGCAGAATTCAGTCTCTACAATGGTTCATCTGCACTGTTCACCACACAATCCAAAATTAATCCACATAGGAACAAGAAGATACAAACACATCTCAGAGATATTACAGGTTTGGTTCCAGACTATTGCAATAAAGCAAGTCACACGAATTTTTTGGTTTTCCAATGCATATAAAAGTTATATTTGTACTGTAGCCTATTAAATGTGCAACAACATTATGTCTAAAAAATTTACATACTAACCATCATCTGGGCCTTCAGTAAGTTGTAATCTTTTTTGCTGATGGAGGGTTTGAAATATGGTGAGAATCAACAAAATGTAACACATTTTGGGAGAAAATGTTGCAGGAAAAATGGCACAAGTAACTTGCTTGACTGTAGGATTGTCACAAACCTTCAATTTGTAAAAAACAAACAAAAAATCTGCACTATCTGCAATTCACAAGAAAATGAGGTATGCCTGTGTGACTCATTCTTAAGATAAAAGATAATTAACGGAGACGGACCTCAACATGACCCAGATGTTAGAATTTGCAGACAAGGATTTTAAAGCAGTAGTCTCTCATAACTATGTTCCAAAATATATAGAAAAATATGTTCATAATAAGGAATCAGACAACTCCACAAAGAAAAAGCAGCTTAAAGAAAAAAACCAAAGTGAAAATTCTAAAACTGAAAAATACCTGAAATAAAACATGTATTGAATAGGTGTAGTAGCAGAATGGAAGTGAAAGGAGTAAGATTCAGTGACTCTGAAATAGATAAGTAGGTATTATGTAATCTGAAGAACAGGGGGGAAAATATTGGAGAAAACAAAATAAAAACAAAAAACATGGGTAGAACCTCAAAGTCTATTGCAATTGACCTCAAAGTCAAAGGCAAGTCAATGGAAAAAGCAGAGTCTTTTCAATAAGTGGTGCTGGAACAACTGGACATCCACATGCAAACAACAACAAAGTAGACAGACCTTATACCTTTCATAAAAATTAGCTCAAACTGGACCATAGATTTAAATATAAAATGCAAAAACTATAAAAGTCCTAGAAGATACCAAAGGAGAAAACCTAGGGGACCTTAGATTTGGCTTAGTGATAACTTTTTAGATACAACACCAAAAGCACAATCCATGAAAGAAAAATTTGGACTTTATTTAAAATTGAAAACTTCTACTCTTCAAAAGACACCATTAAAAGCAAAAAAGACAAGCCACAGACTGGGAGGGAATACCTGCAGAATACTTATCTGATAAAGGATTGTACCTAAAATATACAAAGAACTCTTCAAACTCAATGAGAAATTAATGACCCAGCTGAAAATGCATAAAAAATGTGCTCATCAAAGATACTATACAAATGGCAAATAACCATATGAAAAAATGCTTGACATCGTGTTATTAGGCAACTGAAAATTAAAACAACTGTGAGATTCCATCTCCCAACTAAAATCCAAAACACTGGCAACACCAAACATTGGTGATGATGTGGAGCAAGAGAAATTCACCCGCTGATTCTAGGAATGCAAAATGGTACAGCCACTTTCTAAGAGAGTGTGGCAGTTTATTCCAAACCTAAAACAAAACATACGTTACTCACATGATCCAGTAATCACAGTCCTTTGTATTTACCCCAATGAGTTGAAAACATGTCCACACAAAAACCCACACACAAATGTTTATAGCAGCTTTACTCATTAACTGCCAAAACTTAAAAGCAGACAAGATGTTCTTCAGTAGGTGAATGGATAAGCTGTGGTACATTCACACAATGGAATATTATTCAGCACTAAAAAAAAAATGAGGTATCAAGTCATGAAAAGACATGAAAGAAACTTAAACGCATACTGCTGGTGAAACAAGCCATTCTGAAAAACAACACATTACATGATTCCAACTATGTAACACCTGGAAATGGCAAAATTATGGAGACAGTAAAAAGACCAGCAGTTGTCAGGGGTTGGGGGTTGTGGAGAAGGAGAAATGAACAGGTAGAGCACTGGGAAATTTTAGGGCAGAGAACTACTCTTTATGGTACTATAATGGTAGATATATATTATTATACATCTATCAAAACCTACAGGACTGTACAACAAATGAAACTTCATGTAAACTATGAACTTTAGTTAAAAATAATGGATCAGTATTGGTTCATCAGCTGTAACAAACGTACCACATTAATGCAAGCTGTTAATAATAGGGGATAAGGGCGTGGGATGAATTAAGTGTATGGGAATGCTCTGTACTTTCTGTTCAACTTTTCTATAAAACTAAAAGATAAATGTACAGATTCAAGCTCAGTTAACCCCAAATTGAATACATGCAAAATGCACGCACACACTTCTCCTGGCACATCACTGTCAAACTTCTCAAAACTAAAGATAAAGTGAAAATCTTAAAAACCAGAAAAAAAGGACATTACATACATAGAAATGATTTGAATGAACACTGGCTTTTCAGAAACAATGAAGGCAAATTTCCTTTGCTTCTCCATAAATTTCCATTCATGAGTTTCTTTCTTGTACTTTATAATCTAAGAAAGCATTTTTGTGTGGAAAGTTCTAGTGGTGAAATATGAGAAACCTACAAAAGAGTGTATGTGTATGTGTGTGTGAAAACGAAAATAAAAGCAAGAATTTCCCCTTTCCTTACATCATGTCTGTTTCTTTCGTGCTCCCAGACTGTAAAGTTAGCAGGAGTAAGGCTAACAGTGAACTAATACAATGATTTTGAGTGGGGAAAATGCTATTAAGCATTTTAAAAAATTATTTAAAAAAATAATCTGGCATGTGCAGGTATAAAGACTAGACAATCTAAACGATTTTTTTCCTGTTTCATAAACTGGATACCATGGCAATAATTATTAGTATCTGATCTGATATCAATTTTGTGTGGATGTTAAAAGGTCTAAAACCTAACAACCATTAACCAAACTAACGTTTTATGAATTTTAAAAGACTGGAAATTCAGGGGCTAAAGATTTCCACTGAAAGGCAGTGAAAAGACATTAATCCAGGGCACAATGAGTCATAAATATCAAGAAAGGGCCTCGCAAGGTGGCAAATGTGACCGTAGAGGAAAAAATAACACTAGAAAATAAAGAGGAATTCTGCCTTCTTTTCTATTACATTGTTAGGAAAATATTTACCCATTTAATCACAACAACTGCTGACAGCAATCAAAGTTAGCAAGGACAACTGCTGCTTCTGTATCCACTTCAGTTGCAGGATTAATTTGGCAGTCCACCAACATGCTTTGCAAGGTTGCACAAACACTCCCAGCAAAGCTAAGGAACAGTAAGAGAATTACTATTTGTTGAGGGCAACCTTCCAACCAGGTCCTTGGATGGGTGCTAATAAAAAAACCGGGGTCCTGGTTCTACTTGAAGATAGAAATCTGATTAATGACAATCTTTACCAAAGTCAATTTTGCTCCCATTCAAATGTGTCCTTTTCCTTAAAAGAATCAAACTTTCTCTCTTACCCAATAGTCCTGCAAGCACTTAGTAATACTGTCTCTTGAGCAACGAGTGCATCTGTAATGTATTCTGGCGGCGGCGGTGGTTTGGTCACTAAGTTGTGTCCAATTCTTGGAATCCCATGGACCGCAGCCCACCAGACTCCTTGTCCATGGATTTCTGAGGCAAGAATACTGGAGTGGGAAGCCATTTCCTTCTCCAGGGGATCTTCCTGACCCAGGGATCAAACCCACACCTCCTTCATTGCAGGTGGTGTTTTTACTGCCGAGCCAGCAGAGAAGCCCTCTAACTAACCAATAACCACCAAAACACTAACTACCATTATAGATAAGCCAGTCCACCTTTCTGGACATCAGTGTCCTCAACTATAAAACAGGGAAATGGATAAAAGTATGATCACTAACTTTAACACCATAGTGAATGGTGTCCCAAAGTCATAAACTTTATACTTCCTCCGTGCAGGTGTTGATGCACATTCTTTCCTTACACATTTTTCATCAAATATTCAAAGGGGTCTGTATTTTTTTTAAAAAGTGGTAAGAATCACTAATAAAACAGTAAACAGAGAAGTCAATAAAACTATGCTTTCCTTTTAAGGACGATAACTCATGACAATGTAGCTGTTAAATAATTTGCGTCTCCTGAATACGCCATCCAAAAGAAAAAAAAAGTATGCTACTGTATGAAATTCAGAGTTGGAAAGAGCACGGTCAAATTAAATCCTTTTGTCTCAGAATATCTATTTTCCACTGGAACTGTTTGCATGTCATTTTGGCTTGTCTGAGCTCCAGATCCCCCTAACCAACCGTCTACCTGGTATCTGCACTTGAGCACCTCAATATTCTCTTCCAGGTCTATCCCTTCCCCCGTTTTCCTCACTCCCTAAGGAGCATCATGAACTCAGTTCTTCAAACCAGAAACCCGAAGTCATTCTTGGCATTTTCTTCTCATAGACCTGCCACTCCAACCGATCACCAAGTTGTGTCAAATCCACCTCCAAATCTATCTCAAACCATCCCTCCCCCTTTTCCCCAATCCCACTGCCCCCCACTCGAATCAAAACCATCATTTGATGTTGCCTAGATCTCTGCCATAAGACTCTTAAGTGGTCTTAAACTCTCTTCCTTGCTACACAGGCAGATTCACAGTCCTGAGGAAATGGGGACAGACTGGAAATCAGATCGCATTACTCTTCTAGGTAGGAGGCTGCTTTCTTTAGAATCCAGAATCAAACGATCACCTTTACAGAGCCCTCGGGGCCCTGGACAACCAGAACCTTGCTTCTTAGATCCTGCCAAGTGTTTTCTTTCCCAAGGCCTTGATATGAGTCTCATCTGAAGGTTCTTCAAAGGACACATAAAGACAAGCCGTCATAGTCTTAAAAATTCCACTGACCATTTGCTATGAAAAGGGACTTTACATACTTAAAAAAAAAAGTAACGGCAGAATTTCTGTACTCGGTGACGGTACTCTTCTGGAATCAGAAAGGAGAGGGAAAGGACTTAAGGCAGGTTCTCCAACAGAACGCCATAATGCATTTGCTAGGGTGGGGGTGGGGGCAGGTCATTCGTGCAGAGGTTCCCCAACGACGACAAGAGAATTTTCATTCCTTCCAAGCCTTGCCCACCCTGTGACCAGGTCCGAGGCCGCCGGCTCGTCTGAAAGGCACCCCTCCGCCCCAGGTCGCCTCGCGCTTAGGGGGCCCCGCCCCGGTCTTGCCAACAGCTGACCTCGAACTAGGAAGGTCACTACCGCGCGGAGAAGAAAAACGACCTTCGAGGTCAGGAGCAAGCAAAACCGTGATGGACAGTGCCTGTCGCCTCGCACGTATGGTTTCTCCTAAACTCAAGCAATGCTTCCCGATTGGCTTTTTTTTTTTTTTTTAATTAAGTCCCCTCGCCAAGGAGACCCCGACTCCCAGCCGAGACCCGAGGTTCTTCCCCCGCCCCTCGCCAAGGGGCGCGAGAGGCGGGGCCGCGGCGCTCACCTCGGAGCAGGGCCATGGCGGCGGGCGGGCGGGCGGCTGCGCTCGGGTCCTCAGCGGCGACGCCGCGGTCCCGCCCGCCACGCCCGACTTTAAGCGCTCGGGGCGGTGCCAGCGAGGCTACGCTCCTGCCCTTTCCCCTACTTCGGAGGGCCTGTCCGAGCGCTCCCCTCTGGGCCCCGCGTCGCCCTTGCTGGCGCCATACTGGGTGGGAACCAATGGTGCTGAAAACCTCGCGGGGAGACAAAACGTTCCTCGAGAGCGGATTCTTCCCATCTCACTGTTTTTTAGAGATTCCCTTTCTGTTTCGCAATGGAACGTTTTGACTCTCCCCTGCCCAACCTAGCCTTTGGAGCCCCTCCCCGCGCCAAGGTAATTAGCGGTTCCCCTCCTCCTCACTCCCGGATTCCCTTCAACTTGTGACCGGGCCGCTAAAGGTTTGAATGGCCAACCAAAAGGGCGGAAAGGGTTTGAGGAAGGTCTGAGGCGGCCGAGTTCGGCCGGAAGTCGGCTGGGCGCGGAAGACGGCGTGGGAGGGGATTGGCTGAGCCGCTCTGGCAGGCGGGGCGGGCGGCTGCGCAGAACAGCCCAGGGGGAGGCCTGGGCGACTGGACTCGCCCGGGAGGTCCGGGCGCGCGAAGCGGGGCAGAGAGATTGGCAGGTGTGGGTGTAGCTAGTGGCGTAGGGGACGGGGCGCCCCCGGGTCCACAATGCAGCCCCCGGATGAGGCCGCAGTATTTTCCTTATATGATCGGGCCCCATGGCTGGCGGCGCCGCCGGCCCGGAGCCTGAGAGGATTATGAAAACGTGTCAGGCGAAATGGGGCCAGGGACCCGGGGGCTGGGAGGTTAGGGGAAGGCAGTTAGGCTAAGGTTTGGGTGAGGTTAGGGTGGCCCCTGCCGCTCTGCGAGCCCTGGTCGATGATGACGTGACCACTGCGCAATCTGAGTTCTGGGAACTAGGTGATGGAGCGTGTTCTGAGGACGGACTGAGACCGGGCGAGCAGGGGGTGACGCGGTCGGCAGACCCCAGCCCCAGGGCTCGGGGGCGGGCCACGCTGCTTCGGGCTTAGTTCGGTGGTTGGGAAGGGGTGGGTGGGAGGCTCTGAGGTGTTCTGTGAGCTGTCTGGGAACGCCCGCCCCAAATCCAGGTTTTCAAACGCGTTCGTGGTCCTCTCATTTTGTATTTTTTTTTTAACCCAACTTTTTTATTATAAAACTTAGAAACTTACAAGAACGTGCAGAGACTTCTACGTGAACTACCCGTATATTCATCACCCGTGTTCTACAATTGTTAACACTTTGCCATATTTGCTGTATCACATCTTTCCACCTTTATATATATATATATATATACACATTTTTTTTTGTCAGCCTTAGTACACTTCAGGAATACTTTGGCTCACGTTAAAGGTGAGTATATGTTTACAGTCATTTTTATGGCAGAATTACCGTATGGTAACACGTATGAATCTTCAAGTTGGATGAGTTTCACAAGTGCTTATACGGTTGTAGCCCAAAATATTCTCAGCTTTCAAAATGTAATTAGAACATGTCCAGCATTACAGAAAATCCCTTCATATCTCTCTTGTGCTCCCCTTGTTCCCCTTTCTTCATCTATTGTTCTTTGACCCTCTGGTTTATTCTTTTTTTCTGTTGCTTTGATTTAAACAAATCCAGGAAATTGATACTTGTTTATTCAATACGTAGATTCCAAGGCTGTTAACTTTAAATTCACTTTAATAACTTTAAATAATATGTATATTGGTTTTTCACAGCAGGTGTTTGTAGTCAGTGGAATTTGGACTTTGAATAGATCAAAGCTTCACACATACCTGATGGTATTTTTTTCATCTCCATATTCCGGATGATGAGTGATAGTAAAATAAAAGCTACCATCTTTGGGATTACTGTTATGTAAAACAGAATAACATACAGTTCATACAACATCAGACAAACCCGAATTAAGGGACATTTTGCAACCCCATGAAATAGGTAGGAGTTAATCCTTTCTTACTTTATAAATGAGGAAGCTTAGACCCAGAGAAACCAAGTATTTGCCAAAGCCTCAAATCTAGAAAATTGCTGAATCTGAAGTTTGAACTCTTGATTCTCAGAAGCCCAAGGCCTGTGTTCTTTGTCCAGGGCTTATGGCATTTGGAGCATAGAAGGGGGCGGGGAGGGGGGGGGTAGAAAAAAAGTTAGCTAGGGCATATGTTATAGAAAACAGGAAAGGAGGTGAATGCTAAGTTAATCTTCCTTAGTGGAAGAAATAAAGTAGTTGAAACCTTGGTAAAGGTAACATATTTGTATTTGGTGACTTGAGTTAGAAGATTTATTTGCTTTTTTTGGCAGAGAAAGGTGGGTGGAGAAGTGAGGCAATGGGTCATTACTAGATGCTCGCCTTTTGTCAACTATGGCTCCTACAGAAAGTGATTCGAAGAACCATTTTCTTACTTCTTCCAAGGATAGTACAGAGCTGATACCATTCTAGATGCATATATATAATGAATACCTTAGAGCATTAGAACTTGATTTATGTTTGACAGCTAGCTACTCATAATAAGATAGAAATCAAAATGGAATTCATTAGGTGAGCCAAAACCAACATGTTTTATCGCAGGTTGGCACTGAACTTCAGCCAGTCAAATATGTTTTGTAATACAAAAAAAAAAAAATCAGAGTTTTCATGTGCAATTAATTGTGTTTAGTGTGAGATACAACAGTGGAGGAAATAAACAAATCTTGAAAAGTTATGTGTTTTTCCATTAAAACTTTCTAATAGTCCAAATGCAAAATAAATTCTTGGTCTCTAGAACTATTGATAAGGGTATTAGTGTTCTTCAGTAAGAGAAAAAGGCAGGTTCTATTCAGTTTGGCCCTCATATTTATTGAGAAAAGTTAAAATGACATCATGAGTATCACAGTTTCCCACTTAACATCTTACAGATTGCCTGCAGCAAGTCCTTCCAAATAGAAATTTCTAAGTTTTCCGTGATTAAAAATGTCATGAAAATGGGTGTATTTGAAAACCACTGAGTATAAAAGCATGAAAATCTATGTAAAGACATTTACACAATCTCAGAGTATCATGAAGAGGAAAAGTTATCCATACACTAGAGAAAGCTTGTGGGTATTATCTTGACCAAATGACCAAGCTTAATGTTACCTTTAATGGGACAAACTGACATCATGCACTGAGATGCACGGAGAAGGACACAAACTCACGTAGGATTTCTCCAAAAAAATGTCTGACAAATCTAATCATAAGGAAACAATCACACAGATCCAACCGAAGGGCACGTTGCCAAATAACGAACTGAACTCTTAAAGTGTCAGTGTTGTGAACAACAAAAAAGGCCAGGAATGGTACTAGATGAACAGGACATGAGATGTGACAGTTAAGTGTAATGTGGGGTCTTTTTGGAAACTGGATTCAAAACAACTCTAAAGAACAGAATTGGGACAGTTGGAGGAATGGTCTGTAAATTGCATGAGGTGGTATTGACATTACTTTTCCTGATTCTGTTAATTATACTGTAGACAGGGCAGAGATTGTCCTTTGTTCTAAGGAAATACACACCAAAATATTTAAAGGTGAAGAGTCATGGTGCCAAAACTAATTACCAAACGACTGGAGGAAAAAAAACAAACCATGCATCCAGATACACTGGCAAAGACAGAAAGCAAACATGGCAAAATATTACTAATTAGGGAACATAAATGTAGACTACATGGTTGTTCATTGTTCTATTTTAACTCTTCTATAGCTGTTTAACTTTCAAAATAAAAATTGAGAGGAAAAGTATCTTTCAAGCAAGCTGAAAAATTACCTAAAATTCCATTTAATTCTTTTCATTTTTAACCATATCTATATCAATATGTACATGTATAGTAAAATACTAAATATATCAAAATTAGGTATTTTATAATTTTAAAAATCTAGATATGAGATGTAAAGTTACTGTTGTAAGACATTTAGCTTTCAATATTTTTAAAAATAGCCTATTATCATGTCTTTCTGTATTTTTATGAAAAGAAAAAGTAGTATTAGTGTAAAACTGAAAATCAGTGAATCAATTATAAATCTTCAATTTGCATGTTAAGATTTCATTAGGATTTCAGAAATAACTGGCCTCAGCCCTGTCTTCTACATTATGTGGATAATTTTGCTGTACTTAAACTTCCTATAATACCCCAAATTGATGGTAGTTTTGAATAGCACTGCTTTTAGAAGTTTCATTAGCAGAGACTGGGAAAGCTGGTACAGTTGGTAGGAGCTGGGACTGTTAACAGATGAGTACAGTGACCCGTCAGTATCTTAGGGGATTGGTTCTAGACCGACACCTAAATCAAGTCCTTTACATAAAGTAGTATTTGCATATTTGCATATAACCTATGCACATTCTCCCATATACATTAAAAAATCTCTGATTAGCTATAGTACCTAATACAATGTAAATTCTATGTAAATAGTTGCTGGTGTGTGAAAAATTCAAGTCTTTTTGGAACTTTCTAGCAAATTTTTTGATTGTAGTTGAATGAATCCATGGATTCAGAACTCAAGGATACGGAGGGCCTTGAATTTGAATGAATGAGACAGTTGAGTTTGCTAATCTTGAGTAGCTGGGAAAGTTATGTATGTGCTCATTGTTAATCTAACTGCTTTGGTGATAACTTCAAATTTTGTTAAGAGGCAGTTATGGGGAGGAGAGGGTGAGATGTATGGAGAGAGTAACTTGGAAACTTACATTACCATATGTAAAATAGATAGCCAATGGGAATTTGCTGTATGTCTCAGGGAATGCAAACAGGGGCTCTGTCTTATCAACCTAGAGGGGTGGGATGGGGAGGGAGATGGGATGGAAGCTGAAGAGGGAGGGGACATATGTATACACATGGATACCCATGGCTGATTTCATGTTGAGGTTTGACAGAAAACAACAAAATTCTGTAAAGCAATTATCCTTCATTTAAAAATAAATTTTTTTAAAAAGAGGCAGTTTTAACCTTGGATGTGGTTTTGTCCTTATAACAGATACCTACCCTACTGAAAGTTTAAGTTGCCGAACAAGCACATCAGAAATAAATATAGACAGAGAAATACAGACACTGATTTGCCGAATTTAAATTTACCCCAGGTCTAGATGTGTTCCAACTAGCTTAAAATACTACCACAAACTTAAGTGAAGGATATATATAGACAGCTGGCCCTTGAACAGCATGTGTTTGACCTGCACAGGTTGATTTGCAGATTTGTTTCAATAGTAAATACTATTGTACTACATGAGCAGAGATTGGTTGGAATCTCGGATATGGAGGGACTCAGTATGTGTAGAGCTGTCTATAAATTACGTTCAGAGGATGTAATTTGACTGCATGGAGGGTGGGCTTTCCTACCCCCTACTCAAGGGTCAGGTGTATTTGTCTTTGTTTCTCTACCTGTTTGAAAGTTACTTGCATTGTCTGTACCTTTACCAAGCCTTAGAATTTCAGTTGGTAATACAGGGATACTTCATTATATTCTGCTTCACTTTATTGTGTTGTTGTTGTTGTTGTTTCATTTTGTTTTTTAAATTGAGTTTGTGGCAACTCTGCTTGGAGCAAGTCTACTGGTGCCATTTTTCCAACAGCATTTGCTTACTTTTTCTCTCTGCATCACATTTTGGTAATTCTTGGACTATTTCAAACTTTTTCATGATTATCATGTTATGGTGATCTGTGATCAGTGATCTTAGCACACTTCAGTATAGTGGAAAAATA